CCAGACTTACAGTCGGGTAAAAACAGAGCAAGAATCAGCTGTACAGAAAAGCAGCTATTTTTTCAGGTAGCGCTGGAAACGCTGAAGTGCTAGCAAATACCACGTGGCCTCTCGTTAGCACAGAGTTTTAGTTATTAAGAAGCCGTATATCAAATAAAATGTGCTCTTTACTCTGCACAAGTACACCTGGGGCTCATTTCCATACACGAAGCAGAACATCGCAGTTCCTTTCAGCAGCTGTAAGAACATCAGGCCTTCCTTGCCATCGCTGCAAACCAGCACCAGTGCCTTGCTGGGAGAACACCACATCAAGTCACAGTAACTGAAATGCAGCCCAATACGATGCTTTGACTGGCACCAACTACCAGTCACGCATCTGGCTGGAGAGCTTACCGCACGTACACCTCCTGTGGCCATGATCGCTGGATGTTGCCCTCAGGAATGAGATTTCACATGTTCATGAATCTCATTAGTATAGCAGATAATTATTTTTGCCAGATAACTCAGTACAACAGAAGCCTACTCTTCACAACTGATGCAACCTACCTATCTTCCCAGACACAAGCAGCTTCCAGCTTTAGAGGCAATGCTGAACCATATACTTTGATTTTTATACATAACTAACTGGTATACTGTATTTCCAGGATGTACTACAAACAGGAGAAGCTATATCATCACACAAAAACAAGTAACCTGGAACTGTTATGAGAATTTGTTTCCATATTGTGTACACTACTGTCTCATGCCTCAAAAGACAAGATAAGACAGCTATTTTTGCCCTTGGCGCTGGTATTAGGTGCCAAGAGATAAGGGATTTGCAAGCGAGAGGAACGTTCTGCTCTCTGCCAACGCCACAATGTTCAACCTACATAGTCAGCTGAAGCCAGGTGTGAAACATCTCAAAATACACTATCTCCAAGAACAGACAGGTCGTTATGATGAGGTTACTATGTTTTGGGTTTGTTTTTTTTTTCTTTTGGAGCAGGGCTGAAAACAAACCTTAATAGCACCATTTTTAGTGTTGTTCAGTGGTGCTCTCTGCAGTTTTTAGAGGTCATACTGAGATAACTACATCTCCCGCTTACAGACAGACACAGAAAGACAGCCCCTACTCCATGTTCATTTATTGCAACTGTTGGGAAACAAGCCTCAAGTTCAGATCTCCAAATCATTATAATAGCTCATTAAAATAGGATTTTAGGTAGGCATGGGCATAACCTTAACCTTTTTGCTACAAGAAAGCAAAGCATTTCACAGTAGCAAACTACAGAAAGGCATCTGCATCACCACAGAACAAGTAACTGTTGTTTTATTCATTTGTTTTGTCTTCCAGAATTCAGACATTTACATCTGTCTTCCTCTCTACTCCACTCCTTTCTAAGAAAAATAAGGATCCCAACATGCCTTAAAATCAATATTAAATGGAAAAGGAAGCACAGGACAAAATACAAACTCCTTCAGTGGTACTTGGTTCCAGGGCTAGGTTGCAGTTCCTCCCTTTTCCTTACACACTACACTTCTAAATACTGCTCCTATCTGATCCTCTGAAGATGATCTGCTGCTGACGTTACAGCTCTGATTTACAGGATATTACTCCTCAGATGGAATGTCCTCCAAAATTACGCAACAACAGCTTCCCAGGTCCCTCTTAATACAAGACTTCTCCAGGAGAGCAGTCCCCACGCACGATTAGGTGTTTTCACACTGACATTGCAGGTCAAGCCCCAGCGCAGCCAGAGAGCCGATGAGTTTCCATAAGCCGATCTTGGGCAGTTTTCTACCCGGCTCGCTTGCCCAATGAGCCGGAGCTGCCGAAGCTGGGTTAGAGAGGCTCCAGCAGCAGTTCCTCTGACAGCACCATTGCCAGCACAGCCTGCTGCTACTATCAGTGAATTAAACTCTGCTGAAGCCAAATTCGGGTTGGCTTTCGGGTTTTTTTTGTTGTTTTGCTTTTTTTTAATCAAATACCAAGCGCCTCCTCAACCAAAGGAGAAACCACCTACAAAACCCCAAACCGCCCAGGCCCCCGCTGCGGCAGACTTTGGGCAGCACCGCTAGCCCTGCCTGCGGCCGGAGCTTCCCCTGCCCACTCTCGGGGGAGGCTGGAACGCGGAGCCGGCCCCCCCCCAGAGGCCCAGCCCGGCCTGTTCTCCTGGAGGCGCCGTCCTCCTCCCG